AAATGTAACTTGGCAGTACTTACAGTATTACATGTACAATGTAAAAATGACATTCTGTATTATTTTAGAAGAATGGTGACTGTGATATGTTCATCTTGCAGATGAAGTTCTCTAGGTATACTTAAAATGAATTTGCAATGAGTAGATGCAGGAAGAATGATACAGAATAGAAGTACAGCATCATGTATTGATAAAATATATGTGCATTTTTATTTTCATTTAATTATAAACAACCATTAAATGTAACTTTGCAGTACTTACATGTACCATGTAAAAATGACATTCTGTATTATTTCAAAAGCATAATAACTGTAATATGTTCAACTTGAAGGTGAAGTTCTGTAGGTATACTTGAAATGAATTTGCAATGACTAGACACAGGAAGAATGATACAGAATAGAAACTACTGCTGAAAAATTATACTAATAAATCAATCAAATAAGAACAAGCTGTGTACAGTGAAGATTTCATTTGACATTGATTAAACTGTTAGTTCATACTTAGTGCCGTGTGAAATGAGTGTGTTGTCTGCAAGTACAGACTTTTAAGGATAAAAGAATTGGCAAATAACAGCATGCATAATTGTGAAGGACATTTTTAAATGTTGGAAATTTATAGACTTAAGAACTGCTAATAATGCTAGATGTTAATTTTTTTAATTTAACTTTTTTTTCCTGATGAACAACACATACGTCATGCAAATTGACAAAAGAATAGACAATGCAAGCATTCTGATGTTGACTTTGTTTTCTCTTTTCAAACTAGGATTTAGTAAACTGTGTATTAATTGCTGGGTCATAGCTTGAACAGAGACAATAGAGTCTACATACAGTGGGTAAGCTGTGCCCAAGGTTCAAAGTCTTCACCCTGAGAATGAGAGGTCACCGGAAACTTGGCTCTAGTTATAAACGGCTCAGGCCCGTAGCCAGGGGGGGTACGAGGGATTCGAAAGAACCGCCCCTTTTGCTGGGAAAAGGTCCAGTCTGGGTAAAATTTGAGCTTGTTACATGAAGTTTTTATAGAAAAGGTCCACTTTTTCAGAAAAAGAACCCCCCTTTTGAAATTGCTGGCTATGGGCCTGCGGCTGCCATGCCAGCGACTTGTGAAACCCGGTGCAATCGTTCCTTTAAAATAAATTGACACCCTTCTTTATCATTTCAGTCCTACGGCCTTTAAATTTCTTTGCTCTCTGTCTTAAAGATGTTGTATTAATACAGCCATCAAAGTGCGTTTGGTAATACAGTTCTGTCAAAAAGTTTGGGAAACGGTTATACGGTAATGCTGCTTATCACGTTGACTCGTGGCACTCGCGGTTAACATGGGTTAGTGTCTCATGGGATGTGTTTGTAGTTATTGTATATAATACTTATTATAGATGGGCTCTTCCAAAATAAGGAATATTGGCGGTGCGAATTAAGGCCGCGTGTTGACAAGTATGCGACCCGATCGATCGGCTTTATGGCTGCCGTAATGAACATGGAAGGTAAGGCACACAATCAACCGGGTTGATGTTAATTAAAGAATGGGACTGCCAATAAATTACTGCTATTTCAATATCCAACTGGGGAGAGAAATCCTACCGTCACGAAGAGCAATTGGAGTATAGAGGCCTATGGCCTTTGTAAAAATGGTCCGTGTAGTCGGTATTTAACGTGCTGTAAATGAGGATTTTTCAAAATGAACATAAAAAGTCAATACTGAATAATGTGAATAGAGAAACGCTAAATTTCAAACGAAAGAATGATTTGCAGAATTGAAAATCACGCAAGAAGGTAATTTTGCGTTTTCATCGAAATGGAAATCCAATTTTAGTTTTTATGTCCGTTTTCCCATGTTCTAATACAGTAACTTGTGTTACTATTGTCAATGGCAGGCAAATATCTGCGAATCATCCCTTTAATGTATTCCACTATATAATAGAAGGCTGCTTTTCGAGTCAGCAAGAGACGAACCGTGATGAGATAAAACCATAACTGAGGTCACAAGCTACCAGTCCGTGTATTTCAAACTTCGTTGCCTTTGTGTCACCTTTTTATCGCTTATATTACTCAAGATCAAATACTTTTTTCTTTGAAAAGATGACCTTTGTTAATGATAAAACTTAGGACATAGATTAAAAACAGAATTGTGGCATTAAAAGTGTGCGTGTCTCTTTTACAGATAGATACCCATAGCGCAACAAAAATATGGAAAACAGAATACAGTAATCTTTAGCAGCAGCGTAGGCAAATGTTATCGATAAAAGGTTATTTGGGATTTCATTTTGTAACAACTTTTGGAATTCGAAAAGCACACAGAAAGGGGAAAAACGAATTTCGTTTTTATACCATGTTCTTGTATGAAAAAAGTTTACATTTGGCATTACTAGACAAATAACTGAGTGAAGTATTTCCCGTTTATAATCGCCACTGTAATCACTGTAAGTCGGAGAGCTGTTTCGTTTCAGTATTACCTTTTATTCATTCTCCTTTTTGTCAACAAGATAGCGTGTAGAAAACGTGAAAAGACATTGAAGTTCGGGCCAATACATCAATTCTGAATTGAGCCTAACTGAACAGGATAACTTGTCAGAAATATGGACCAAAGTTGAAGACGGTAGCATATAGAGTATTGCATATACTACTTACTATATTTGCAAGGACAGTATAAAGGACGCATTAGTCGACTGAAAAATATGTATATGCATTTTAGATGCATGCATATATATATATATATATATATATATATATATATATATATATATATATATATATATATATATTCTGAGTCGTCTGTTCAGTAATAATAGTAAATGTTTGTTGAATTACAGTATCAATTTAAAAATAGATTAAAAGTGCAAAAATGGACAGGACACGATAAGAGTGATTAAATAAGTTGAAAAAATGCACATACATGAGCAACAAAATGGATTCGTTAAATACTCTCTCTCACTAGATCACGAGCGCGTACGTCGCCGCGCACGCACACACACACAAACACACACACTGTTTACGCTTAAAAGAACAATGCTGCATTCACAGTTATAAAAAAGAGCACCTGTGCTACCCTGTTTTCCGGAGCACCTTGATCGATACTTGTTTTAAATACCCTTGTACATGTAAGATTACGCAACAAGAGCGAGATCCAGCTTAGAATATTATTCACGAATATTCTAAGTTCATAGCATTATTTCACGCGTGAACTTATTGCACTGTCCATATTCTTTGTGTAGTCTCAGAACTTATGTATAATGTTATATAGGATTTAACTTGCCTCCAATTGGCTAAACCAAAGAAGATTGCTCTCCGTGCGATTGGACCGTCAGTTGGTGCCCCTTGTAAATTGTTTGAAGCACTTGGAAGTTCGCCTCGGTCTGTCCAAAATACCATCTCTGGATTTTCCTCTTGTAGAACATAGGTCTCAGCAATTTAAATACGCTTAACTGAGCGTTCTGGCTCCCTGAGTCGTCGACTTTTTCGCTTTTCTTGTGTAACATTTTACAGGGCTAAGCCAATACCATTAATCCCAATAGATTTCATTCCATTTCTTCTCATTAATAAATGTCTATTTTTGACCGATTCGCTCCTTTTAATCTTCTCAGTACCCTAAAGCTTGATTCTAATCGGGGGAGAGCCTCTGCAATTTTCAAATTTTGTACAAAATTGCACGCAAAAACCTGATGACTTTTTTTCACTGGGTGTCCCCGTGCAGTCTCCACCGCCGTGGTGAAGCACGTGACGGACGTTACCTCCTTGGAGAGTCTTTTGTGGCAACAGTTGTGGTGTTTTTACTTGAACTGGTGGTCATTGTCACTGTTTTACTCTGTAAAGATAATTGCAAGGACATAATGAAGTGTTTTGATTTTAGGAAACTGTTCATATTTCATGGTTATTAATACATAAATCATTATCATTCCATACAATCTGTTCTCAACCTGATTATTATTTTTATAAAATGTAGCCAAATGGCCCAAAATATACTGTCGAAACAAAACTGGAAAATAATGGGATTTAAAGAAAACCAAGGTCTTACAACTAATTAAATTTATTATCTTATCTTATTATACTCTATTTATATATTTATGCATTCTTACTATTTTTACTCAAGAGCTACACAAATATGTAAACCGTTATACCTGTTGTGTCGGCACGGTGGCGTTTGTTGGCTTTGGCGCCGGAGTTGGACAAAATATGGGATCCTCCTCTTTGCTGTACTTCCCCACGTCCACAAGGATGATAGTGAAGAGCCGGAAGTCACCCTTTTTTATTACGTCATACTTCACAGTTGACAGGCCATCCGTCTTAATACGCCGCTTAACCGTTTTAATTGCACACGCTCTGCAAATATTTAAAGAGTTGAGTTTGATAAATTTGGTAACGTTTTGGTAATCAAATCCAGGTGCGTACCCAGGGGGGTTCGGGGGGGGGGGTCGAAAGACTTCCCCCCCCTCCTTTTTCGCCGGGTAAAGGCCCCCTCTGGGTAAAATTTAATCAAGGTACACGAAGATATCATGGTAAAAGGTCCACTTCTTAAAAAAAAGAAAACCCTTTTGTAATTGCTGGCTACGGGCCTGAAATCCAATATTTCGTCTGGAAGATGGCAAAATCCAATTGCACATAATCATCGTCCTTGAAACATGTGAAGGATTAGCTTTAAAATATGTGCTAGAAAAGACCAGAGATTGCATAGCCATGTCTTCAAATATTTTTTCTTCTAAACTTCCATTCACGTCCACACGCTCTGCTTTATCATTTTCTCGCTGATGCACACATTTGTGACGGGCGAGGTAAGGGGGGTGACTCTGAAGTGCTTACTGAACCCCCTCCCTACCCTCTACCAGGGCCACAGATTGATTTTTCACTAGATATTCACAGATAATGTCTCTGGTTAAATATGGTCAATCTTTTAACTGTGACTGTGGCTGGTGCCTTTAATATCTGCAGCCTTGGAAGAGGGTACCCCCTCCCCTTGTAAATGCTTTTGAGGTGTCTTACATACACAAGTGCCTTAACGTAAAGTACTAAATAAATAAGCGGTAAATGACAGAAAAAGACTCAAAAGTGTGATCGAATGTAAAACATACTACACGTCTCGCACGTTTGTGTAAGCTGTCGTGATTTGTACTCACATGTTTTTGTAAGGCATGGTATATTTCCGCTTGGTGTGTTTCATCATTTTGTACCGCCCCACGCCCGGGCCAGGCCGCTCCAGTGTCACGCCCGAAATGTCCAATCTACAAGACGAGAAACAATAACATTAAGGCAACTTTATCATATTGTCTGCACAAGGTTTTATAGTTATCTGTATGGCCTGCAGATTAGTAAGCTCAACACTTTAGAGCAAATTAACGAAGGGAAACAGTCTATGAAACATTTTATTTCAAATTTGGAATGGTGATATATTGGACCATTTATTGCATAAAAGAAAGACATGTCCTTCATTAAGAGGGAACAACAAATCTAAAATTTCAACAATAAAGACTCATCGTTTTAGAAAATATTTCATAAATTATATCTTTTTTCGATTTGCAATTTTACTGAATAAACTAATTTCATTTATCAAGAAATGGTAAATTCGACAGATGAAGACTCGTATCCAACATGTCACTCAATTTTAAGATACGTTTACTGGAAATTTCAGTCAAACAAGGCAAAAAATTTTAATAATTAGTACATATCAAGAAAGTTTTGGGTTGTACTTGAAAGTAACATTGTAGCATGCTTCTTGCAGATTTTTCACCATTAAATTATATCTAAGATACAGAATATTGATCGACCAGCCTATTAAATATAACTCTTCGAAGACATGCCTACCTGAAAATGCACAAACACATATATCTTATCTAGTGGAAGTCATAAACACCTATTTTATACCCTTTGCTCACGCAATAACTTTTTTATAAACGTGTTTCTCTCTCTTTAATCGTGTGCTCTAAATCATAAAACGCTTGATACGCCTCCAACCTACCTGACGGATGAACAAAAACATAATTGGCGCACTTGCACGTCAGCTCAGAATATATTCGACATACATATAAACAAGATACCGGCGGTCATAAATGAGTATTCGTACCTCTGAAACATTTCATCGTCTTCTCCTCCCCATCCCCAGAGGGCGTTAGTGTAGCCATTGACCAGTTCAAAGTGCTCCTTGGGGAACGCTAGGGCGCCACCTACCAACGCCCAATATGGGAGCCTGGAAAACAACACACCATTTAACAATCAGATTACATAGCATATCTTAATAAGTAACCTTCTCGTTCGGATAATTTTGATAGAGACACTGAAATTGGCCTTAAATGAGCCATGACAGGGTCGACCATAACCTGCTGATCTGACAAATATCCTCAGTGTGAACGTTAAGTTTATAATTCTTTATTATAAAATTCTTTCCTTTTCCTGTCCTGGTTCTCGACTGCGTCGATTAAGGCAGGATTTATATTTCCTGTAGTACATAGAATGAAATTAGCTTAAAGGGATAATAACTCTTCGTATGAGATTTTTATTTCACAATA